TAAATACACTAACCTCACTCCTTTGTAACAACTAAGGCAAAAATGTAATTAATTCAGAAAATCTTTTCAGGACCCCACCTTGATTTTTCGGGACCCCACTTTGGGTCCCGACCCCAACTTTGGGAAACACTGCTCTAGAACAGTAGTTCTCAACCTGGGTGTCCTGCCAGCGAAAATCAGTTTGACACCCCTGCTCTAGACTCTAGGAATACAACCACCAAACTTTTTTCACATCACTGTTTCCATGTTAAAGTTTTTTTGAACCAGCACAGTATCCATGACAGAAATGCTTTGTAGACAATATGCTTCATTATTTGTTGAGCTTCACAAATTCTCTTACCTGCTGCATTTTTGTCCTCTGTGCGATCTTCTGATCCAGTGTTTTGATATTTTGCCTCAGATTCATTTTCTTTACTTTCTGTTGCTCCAAGAACTCGAGCCAGTGCCTTGGAAACAGATGGAGCAGTCTGGCTGGGTTTGGCCTCGACATTTAAAGTTGATTTATTCACAACTGGTGATGAAAGAGTTCTCTGGATCTGCAACGCAGTCAATCAATCAATCAATCAATAAGAAGAGATGTTATAATGTGGATTGTTTTGTTTATTAATTTAATAGAATATGAATCAAATTGTAGGTCTACTTTTGGTAGAAACTTGCCGTATTCAATGTGTTGCATGAAACAGGTTTTGGGGTCAGAGGCTTCGGCTCAGGGACAAAATATGAAGCAGATGCTCCAGGTGGTACAAATCGAGGTTTTTTCATTGCATTGCCAAAAAGCTGACTGGGAGCTCCTGAGCGCCGCATTCCTCTGGTGGAAAGATTCTCTGACCTAAAAGAACAAGTAAAAAATACTAGACTAATTTTACTGGTCACAATAAGACAGAACTCATGTTATCAGAAAACACCCGAGAAATACAAAAAGGTATTTTGCAAAGCCTGAGCATCTTAAAAGACTGTTTAAGATCCATGAAACTTTTGTACTATTTGTGAAAGTTAAAGAATGGCAATTTCAGTCATTTTTAAAATGGTTAAATGTTTCACAAATCATACACTATATCTTAAACAATCTACTTTTGTTGTAGTATAATTAAAACCCAAGGATAGTACAGTCTTAGATAAGTGTAACTTTTTTAACTGGACCTGTTCCAATGGTCCAGTTCCCAAACAAACAAAAAAAAAAAAAATTGCCTTTCTTGAACTTTCACTACAAATCAGACTGTGTTTTTAAAAATCTGCTTTTAGTGCAAGATAATCCAAACCAAGTATGAATAGATAAGCTTTTCAGTTTTAACGAGACCTGATAGAAATATGGTCCAAACACCGAGCTGCTAAACCGGAAGCTGGATTTTGAATGTCATTAGCTAGCAGGTTAGCAACGATGTAAACAAACCGCTAATAGAATAGTCAAAGCTCGGACGTGTTATCATGTTAGACAATGTGTTATACATTACTAACCAAGACGAGTTGAACGTTTCCCAAAACCGTTTAAAATCACAACCTCGATCAAACTCGCAACTAATTTCTCCTTTCGTTTCGGTTTCTCCCGCTGAACGATTTAAAGGAACCTGATTGGTTAAATCCCACCTGAAGGCGTGGTCAAAAAAAACGGGGTATGTTTGTTTCCAACATCACTACAGCTTACTCCTTGAATCCGGTTTACACGTACGTATTATGATTTCAACAGAATTCATTGAATGTCTAGCAAGCCGCCAACCCCGTATATACAAATCGAACTTACCCAGTGATTCGTGCCAACCAATCAGATAAATTTGTTGTAACGCTATTGCAGTCTATAAAATATACTCCAGTCTACTATATAATCCAATGTAGATAAGATTAGTTGTTTTTTTCATCACTTGCTTTGGCGCAGTTTACATGTAACTATTCTAAATTAACTTAACCTGAGAGTAACAACTCAAACCACTTATGAGATGGTAGAGGCTGTGTTGTTTCGGTGTTTAATACTGGGATCATGTCAGTGTTTTGTATATTTAAAGAGACAGTTTGGCTACATTTAGAGGGGAGTTTTTGCTGCTTTTCCTTTTCCACTGCTGTTCTTAACTCAAAGCTGGTGATCTTTGATTCCCATCCTAGTATGTTTTGTCCTATTTGATGCTGTCTGCTCTTTAATCCAATCAAGGAAAGAGAGGGAGAGTGTGTAATCCATGGTAATCCATCATCAAGAGACCAACACAGAGGGAGAAAACCCCAGACACACCTGGTCATTAGAGGGAGAGAGGAACAGCGATGATCTGTACAGACTGTGCTGCAACACAGCTTCAATTCCTGAGCTGAAAGTGAGACAAACTACAGTAGTTTGTGTGTTTGTTTGTTTGTTTGTTTGTTTGTTTGTTTGTTTGTTTGACTGAGTGTTTCCCTTCTCTGTCATTGGTCTGATCTGATCCCTTCTGACAGCTGCCTGGCCTGTATCCTGACTCCCTGTTGTCAAGGGAAACCTCCCCATGGAGACACACTGTTAACATTAGGGGAGGCTCTTTGCAGGAGACGAGACCCTCACCTGGATGGAGAGAAGAGAGAGGATAACCAGGGAAGATGGCAGCAGGGAAAATGAGAGAGGAAAGTATTTGTTGAAGAGCAAGTGAGGTTGAAATCTCCAAAACAACAGAGGAAGGAAGAGTTGGATGAAGTTAACCTTTCAGGTATGTTGTCAGTGATTCTGCTGTGGCAGGATGGAGTTTAAATCTCTTGTATAACCTGCAAAATCTGTGGTAGTTTCAGGATGGGCTATGATCTGGAGAGGTTTGTGGGGTACGTGAATGAGGGTCTCCTCTGCTGTGTGTGCCGAGACGTGCTGGAGCGCCCCCTCCAGGCTCCCTGTGAACACACCTACTGCAGCGCCTGCATCAGCAGCTGGCTGCTCCATCACCACTCCTGTCCTGAAGACAGACTCCCCCTGGACGTGAGCACCCTCAAACCCCTCTACAGGTCTGTCTGGACCTCTGCCCACCCTCCGCTTCTTCCTCCTGTGCATCACAAACCTGACAGGGTTTTCCCACTCGTTTTATCGAGCAGGTACATGCGTAACGACCTAAACCGCCTACAGATCCGTTGTGTGAATGCAGAGCAGGGATGTGAGGTGGTTTGCTCCCTGGAGAACCTCCACACCCACGAGGATGAGTGTGAGTTTGCCTTCATCTCCTGCTCTAACACAGGTAAAATAAACGAAAATATAATGCTGATCAGTAAAAACCACTTATCTCAAGTGTTTCTTTTTTTCTTCTGATCACATTTGTCGTAAATTAAATGGCCATCCTCATGGATGAAACACAGGTAACCTAACACCTGCAGGTGAACAACAGGTGGCTCATCTGTAGCCATGGTTACATTGCAACATGTGCACATCCAGGTTGAGCTATGGGAATAAAAGCTACAAAGAAGACAAATCCATGAATCTTTAAAGAGTGATTTATAAGTCTGAATGGAGACGCAATATGTTGTTTTTTTCTCATTGTGTGACTCTAACTTGTCAGGTGGAGAGTACATATGTTACAGCTGTGGTAGGTACAGTGACAACATGCTGTGTGGCTTTCTGATTGCTGTGACCTGTGAGATGTTCATTGACTTCATTAAAAACGAGGCATAATAGATGAAATGTGGAGTGAAAAGGTACTAAGAGTGCCTTATTCCAGTTAAAAGACTGAATTGCATATTTAATAATATAAATGGTAAAAAAAGGCTGATTGTCAAATGTTGATATTTTTGCATCCCCTTTTCATTTATTAACAAATTTAAACAGTTTGTTGTAAAAACGAAGAATGTATTTTTTTTTCAAATGTTACAATTTCTGGATTCATTGTTTCACTTTCCATATTCGATTGAACTTTTCAAGTGTGTTTTATTACACTTTACTGTTTCGATGCACGTCGTTTTCGAAACATGTTTGTGCAAGTCTGATTTTGTGTGCCCTTTATGAAAACATAGAAACAGTTCCAAGAAAAGTAGAACGCATATTCTGGAAAAAAAAAGTAATCACTTTATATTTTGCCCAAATTGGGCAACAAATCTGTTGTAGTGAGGTTTTAAAATTGTTTTTAAAAAATGGACAATAACTCACTAGATGCAAAAACAAAAACAGACTGAGCTTCAATATTTCTATTTTATTTAAATAGAAATATTTAAATAAAATAAATATTTATATTTAAATATAAATCTTTAAATAGTAAGAAAATTTGTATTTGGTGGATTATTTCTTTGATGTAACAATGCATCTTGGCAGCATGGGCTCAAAACAAGTGTCAACAGCAACAACAAAATAAGCTGTTCCTTACTTTTTGTGCTAAGTATAAATGAATGAACTGGGTGTATCATGTTAGGCTGTCGTGACTCTTTCCTCCCAGGTTGTCCTGTGCAGGTAGAGAGGCGGGGCTTGGAGGCTCACCTGTCAGAATGCAATTTCCGCAGCAGAGAGTGTCCCAACGGCTGCGGCCACACGCTCCTCTCCACCGACCAATCGCAGCACAACTGTGTGGCGGAGCTGCATGCAGAGGTGGAGGTGATGAGGTGAGTTCTGGCGAGTTGTTCAAAAATATAACTCTGCTTATTACATCAATCGCCTGTGTTTTTGCCGCAGGACAGAGATGCTGTGTAAGGTGGAGGAGGTGAGACGAGAGATGGAGTCTCGGCTAGACTCGCAGAGGAGACACATGGTGCAGAAGGAGTCGCAGCTGAAGAGCGAGGTGGAGGAGCTTAAGGTGACGTCCTACTTTTAGCTACATCACGTCGGGATCATTTCTTTGTAAAATGTAATTATAGTTTTGTCTTAAAGCTTGTTGTTTTTAAGTAATTCTTCTATAAACTGATGGATTTAATCCCATCTATTATACAGAGAGATGTCTGATGCAGGGGCGGAGCTACAGTTTTTGCAAGAGGTGGCCAAAGTGTTTCTTTAGGGGGGCACACAGATAAAGAAAACTACTTTTGATTTGAATATTCAAGATGGCTGCCACAGCAAATTTCAAATGGCTATAATTCAGTTATTTTTGGACATACTGAGCTGAACTTTGGTGAAGTATGAACCATAAATTAAAATGGCGTCCACATGGCAGTACCCATTCTATTTCTCCATTCTATTAATATCAGACTGGCCACTAGATGTCACCCCCTGAGGTGTCACCAGCTGAAACAGGAAGTCATAAAATCAGTCTCTAGCTAAATGTCTGATGGCACCTGGGGTGGCACTTACCACCCCTCTGGCTCCGCCCCTGATCTGATGCGTTTGTTCACGTTTCCATTCTGCGCAGGGTCAGTTATCCCGGGTGATGTGCGACATGCGAGCCCTGTTAGGAGCAGAGCGTCTGAGGCGGCAGGAGCTGGCAGAAGCTGAGCTGGAGAAGAGGGAGCTGCTGGAGCTCCTCAGAGACCTGCAGCCCACCAGGAGTCCGCGTCCCGCTGAGCAGACGGCCGGGGATCATCCTCGAGGGGACCGGCAGACATCGGGCTGGGAGGCACGCGCCGAGTCGACCTAGCTCCAGCAGAGGGAGGCTTCGTCGCTCGCCTCCTGTCTGTCGCTGCACTCAGCTCAGATCATGCCAGCTGCAGGTCCGCCTCCCTCACCTCAGCTGGGAGACGGTATCCACAAGAGTAGCGCTCGGAGTCTGACTCTGGACCCGCATCAAGAGGAAGAGTCGAGAGGTGACGGTCATCTGAATCGAGCCTTTAACTAATTGCTGATTTAAACACGGGCTTGGAAACAAATATGAGTTTGGTTTTTGATTACAGGGAAGTTAGTTTATCATTACAGGGTGACAACAGATTTACAGTTAAAATTTTTTTTAAATCAGAACATTCTAACGCCATTTGGATTTAATTTGTACCAGGTTTCCATTAAAAGTTAATTTTGTGACTGTGTTGCCGCTTGTTTTTGCTCCTTACGTAAAATGTTGTTGAATGTTTGCTAAAATTCTCCAAAGTTCTGTAAGAAACCTGGCATCATCTTCTATATACTGCTCTTTCATTGCATAGTTTTGAGTTTTATATGTAAATTTTCTTCAGAGAATATTAAGTAGCTTTTGTGAACGAACATTCACAAAAAAAAAAGAGATTAAATTAAATGTAAATGAATCATTTCAGATTTACCCATTGTCCATTTAAAAACATACAATCAGTTACTACCACCTTTATTCTATGAATACAGCTCATAACAAAACAAAAAAAGCATAAACAAAGTAACTGTGATGACGTTATTCTTCCACATTTCCATAAAGACAGCAAACACACATCCTGATTGGTCCATTGGCCGTCGTGAGCAGTCAATGCCCAGGTTAATTTACCTGGTGAAGGAGCGCACGTGTCTACCCCTCCCGCCTCCGCTCCCTCCCCCACCACTGAATTTGCTCCCCTGAGATCCTCTTCCTCCTCCGACGCCACCGGCGCCTCCTCCTCCGCCGAGCCACGACAGCCCCGTCCCTCCTCTGCCCCGCGGAATCCGATCACGGATTGCCAGTCGATAAGCACCTGTGGAAGCAAAAGACACTACATCTTTTAGTTTAGTGTGTTTAGTTTGTAGCACGAACTGGAAGACTGAGTGTGGGAACGTGTGCACTCCACATACTTGCGGGAGGCTGACGGGAGGGCAGGGGGCCTCGTGCGAAGTTGCTCTGACCTCCGCGGGGTTCGCTGTAGGTTCCTCTGTGAGTGATGGCCGGAACCTGGCCGCTCCACGAAGACCCGCGGCCTCCGTCTCTTCGAGCGTAGTTACCTACTGAATCCAAAAGGAAATGTTTGTCACCCTCTGCTGGCCAAATAAAGAAGCACAACAATAAAAATAAATAAATAAAGAGCAGTGAGCGTACCTGACAGCAGGACACCTTTAGGTTGTGGTGGAGTGAAGAAGCGAGTCTGGCTGTGAAAGGCAGCTCTGCCTCGGTTACCAGTGAACAGACCTCTAGTGGGGGGCTTAGGGGCGCTTTTTGGGAGACGTTTCGGGGGCATGATTCCAAGAGGGTTGGCGATGTCTTTAAACTCTGCTGCGACAAAGTCATCCACGTGCATGCTGGGAGGACGGGATGTGTTCTGTTTGCGCAGGCGGAAAATATCGTGGGGGCGTGCCATGTTCTGTCCAAACCCCCCTCGGCCCCCACGACCACGAGGAGCGGGAAGGATGTGGGCTCTTTTAGCAGGTTCCACGTAGTCAGATTTACCACTGCAGGAAAGAAAGATGAGGCCATCTTTAACGGATGAATTTCAAACGAGTAAACGTGAAGTGAGGTGAGGCCTGAGCCGTACCTGGATGTGATGAACGTCTCGTGTTTGTGTTTGCCAAGTCGAAAACCTTTAGGAGCCTTGGTGTGACCAGGAGACGAAGGCTCGGACAGAAAGGAGCGCTCCAGCTCCGCCTTCAGATCCAATTCTGGACAGCATTCCTGAGCCAGTCCCACCAGATCCACCTTCACCTGAAACAAAGATAAAAAAAAAACTAAACATTTCCAGCAATGCAATTTTGGTTCCTTGTAAAGTCCAGAAAGAAAGAGATTTAAGTCTGAAACTCAGATCATTTCTATCACAGTAGATCCGATTTGCACAGCTTCAGCTTTTTTCACAAACAGGCACTCACCATGTCGAGGTCTGCTTCTATATCATCCGTTTGGAAGGGCGAAAACCAGAGTGCTTTAAGCTGCTCATCTAATGCTTCTGACAGAATAAAGACCGTCCTGTGGAGAAAAGGAGTTCTATTTTAAATTTATCTCGTTTTAGTTCACATGGATCCAGTTTAGCTTCAGCTTAGTGGCTTTAAGGGCTGAAATGTATGATTTTAAAGAGAATCTCAATGAGTTGAGGTAGATATTAGATATAATTTGACATTTACAACAACTGTAAAATAAAGGTTGTAAAAATACTATAGGCCGTTTATTAGAAATTTTATAAAATATATTGTTGCACTGACGTCGACATATTAATTACGCCACAACGCATACTGGGTAAATGTTTTAAAACCAGACAGGTTACAAAACAAAAAAAGCAGTAATGACCAACCTGTGATTAAACTGAGCTGCCAGTGTTTCGGGGGCTGGCAGGACGGGCTCAGTTTCTGCTGCAGGAGGGGCCTCTGTGGACGCTTCCAGGGTCTGTTTCAGAACAATCACATTCTCCAACATGGTCTCCAAGGAATCGTCTTCTTTACAGAATTTCTAAACACGCACAAGGTAAAGTAAATGTTTTGGCAGCATCAAGCCCCATTTTTTAAAAATGTTTAGAGGTGTACCGTTAATAGCTTCTCTAAAGTAGACAGTGGATGTGATGCCGAGTCCTCCCACCGCAGCAGAGTTTTCATCTCTGAACTTGTCAGCAAACGAAGAGGAGTGCCGTGAGTCTCCTCACCAGACCCCTGACCCTCCTCGACAGACTGGAAACAAAGAATATAAGAGTCACAAACAGGTGAGAAGCTGCAAAAACAGAAATCTTTTTACAAGAACAACAGAAGCAAAAGAGCAAATTTAGTCTTTTCTCTTTATGAAAGCTGGTGATTTTTTAGGAGGCAAAATGAACTAATGATGTGAAAACTGATGCATAACTCAACGCTATTTTGGCTGCTGCAGGCAAGAAATATCTGGTCAAATTTTGAAGAAATAAAAATTAAACTACACATTTAAAGCAGGAAGTTGAGGTAAATATGTGACACATCACATCAAATCAAGGATTATGTCACAAAGCAGTTTGTGGGGAAATAGGCAGCTACTGTAAATTGATTAAAACATTTGCAACAATGTGTGTATATATATATATAATGTGTGTGTATATATATATATATATACTGTATATGTATACTGTATATACATACAGTATATGTGTATATACATACACATACAGTATATGCACATACATATACATACACATACACACACATACATACACACATACACATACCTATACACATATACATACACATACAGTATATATGTAGTTTAAATAAAATATTTGAAACAACTTTAAAGGTGGCCTAATATGGGGGTCCTAGAACAAGTTAGGATCCATCCGTGGGCTATACAAAACATGTTCATTTGATTTAATTCACGAAATTAATCTCAGATAATGAAATGTCACCATTTCAGTTCTGCTTGTTCTTCAGCTCTCTTCAGAACCTGCTGCTTTGCAAAAGATGCTATGGAAACCCCCTCCCAACCTTTTGTTTACGTTAGCTCCGCCCTCTGCCAGAAGTTTACTTTCAGTTCCCTTTCAGTTGAAAGTACTATTTTTCCAAAGTAGTTCATGGTGAAATTATTTACACAAACTTTCTTTAACATTGCTAGAACATTGCCATCAAAAATAAAAACAAAATTAAATAAAAATAAAATTAATCCACACATCTCTGTTCTCCTTGACTGTTCTAAAACAGCAGAACCGTCCTGTGAAGAAGTGGGCGGAGTCTCTGCTTGGGTTACCAGGAGACGAGCTGGGCTCAAGTTGGGGTGGGCTGGAGTACGACTTGTGACATCACACGTAGCAGTGTTTGAAAGCAGGTCATTTCAAGACACAGAAAAATACATTTACTTATAGTAAAAACACCTCTGAGTGCATTTGTTTTGGTGCTCGGACTGTTTTTAGAAGCAGTACAGACCCATATGTAAGTAAAAAAAAAAGCATGAAAAAGTGAATTTTGCATATTCGGTCCCCTTTAAATAATAACTCTCTGTTATGATTAAAAACTCACTTTTAAAAATGCTTATCTGTTTTTCTTTTACCTGTTCATAGTTTATCTTGTTAACTTTGTCTTTTACTTGATCCAACTGTTCTTTCCTAAAATTGCACATAATGTCCATCTATATTTATGCAAACATATTTTTGCATTCAGTATGTATAAAAGTACACTCACCATTGTGTCTGTGTGAACGATCTGCCGGAGGAAGTCGAGCAGAGAGGACAGCAGATCTGTTGAATCTTTGCTGAAAGAAACCACGAGCCTCTTTAGCAGCGAGCACAGCTCTGAGCCATGTTTCTTCAAAGCACTGGAACAAAAACCAACTGTCGTTTTAACCCGGAAGTTTAGAAAAGGGATAAACTTAAAGAAAATTTACAAAAGGGCAAACAAAATGGTTTACATTTTGAGATAGTAAAGTCCATAGTCGTGCTCTGTGAGGAATGTTAAAGTCCGGATGCAGGTGAGGTGGAGGGGGATGCTGCCCTCTTTATTCCCTAAAACTTCCAACAAAGAGTTGCAGACTGAAGACAGCATTTCTCGACCTGGAAGTGCGTTGGCCAGCTGCTCAGCTTCTGACACGCAGCTTTCACCAGGTGGAGGCACCACCAGCGATATGTCCTGATGGATACAAGATGTTTTAAAGCTTCTGGTTCATTTTGAGAAGAATAATTTGTTTGCTGAGCTCTGCTGATCCTACCTGGTCACACAGTGACTGTAAAATAGATCCCACCAAAACACTGCATTGCTGTTGTTGTAAGGAGTGATCAGTTGGAGGAACCAACAGGGACAAAAGCAAAGGGAACAATTCTGCCAGTTGTTCGTCTCCAGAAACGGAACCAGACAGAAGATGCAGCGTCGCGCTCTTACAAGCTCTTTGTGACGTCAGAGCATCCATCAAAGACAGAAGGCGTAAAACTTGGCCCAAGCACAGACTTTTCCCCTCCGCTCTGCAGACAGAAACCATCTGTTTAAAGTCAAGTTTACAGCAAAACCGTAAACGCTGCGGCGGTGTGTGTGTGTGTGTGTGTGTGTGTGAGACACTCACGGCTGCAGCTCCTCCAGCAGCAGCTCCAACACAGCCTTCATGACGAGAATTGAGGTGATGGAAGACAGGTCGGCCAGCTGAACGCACACCCTCCTCAGCATGGTGAGGAGCGGAGGGCAGCTGGTGGAGCAAACACAACTCAGCACCTCTGAAAGCACTTTCCACTGCGCCCGGATGTGCATGCTCCACAACTTCCTGGTGTTTAAAGCTATAGCCACATCCTGGACCGACAGCACCTGTGAAGTTGAAGATGAGAACATCAGTGTGTGTGTGAAAGCAAGATGGGTGACCAGATGTCCCCCATATCTGGTAGCTAAAGCTGTCCTCAATTTTATTTTAGTGTTTTATGAATTAGGAAAAATATGTTGCCTGTAAACCAGGGGTCTACAACATGCAGCTCTTTGGTCCTTCCGCAGCAGCTCTTTAAAGCTTTGACCAAAGCTAACATGAGATTAAATTATTTGCTTTTTTATACTCAGAACAGAATAGTCCTGCTGTAGCAGTTTTCCTGTCAATTTGTTTGCAAATATGTGATATATCTGTAGGGGTAACCCTGGTGGTGAAAAAAAACTTTTCTATTGTTTTTTCTTTGTCTTTGATTTTATTTTTTACACTTATAAGAAGAAAATCATTTTAAAGTGTTTTTATTTTCTTTAAGTGAATAGGACAA